ACGTGGCACAAGTGACACGCAACATCAACAACGTTTACCGAGTGAACATTACAAACGAACGCACCACTTGTTTTGATTTGCCCGTTTCCGTTCTAGAAGTCTCGACCTGAAAAATGAACACCGTGGTCATCCGAAAACTTTGCTCAACAATGATGAATCAAAGGAAATCGTGGAAGCTGATTATTGTTAATCTACGGCTGAATTAGCTTTCGACGTAAGCATCAACATAATATTGGTCCATTTGCATCAAAATGGCAAAGTAAAAAAGCTTAACAAAAGGCCACAAACTCAATGATTGCCAGCGCAAAGTATACGGCGAGACGTGCCTTGCACAGCTCAATAGGCCCACGAACAAAGAAATTTTGAACCGCATTGTTACTTGCGACGAAAAAAAATCTGTTTGACAAAAATCTGTTTTGAAAACTTTCTACGTGGTGAATTCCTAGTGGATATCCGGTTACTCTAGGGGAAGTAGGCATGTTATGTCGGTTCCTCACCGACTCAAATCCCACGGAGGTCGACCAAAGCGTCAAGCGGTCCCTCTACCGCTATGCTGGCCGTTCCGGGAATATTTATTAACTCCTGAGCCCCCGAGAAACTATTATGGTGATCGTGACTACGTTTGATTCCTCGGGGCCACTTAACAGAGCCGACCTAACTCGTGGAATTACTTATGATCCCAAACATACCATTATTGGTAGTGGATCGCCACTAATAGGAGGACCGTGACAGAGCACACTGGCACTGCTGTGGCTCTTTACAGGCCTATTCTCTAACTTAGTTGACATCATAATGACACACAAATGACTGCACTTTTAGTATATTGCAGCTCAGCAAGTAGCTCTTATAGGATCAATGTACGTACTATAAAGTGGCTATAACGTTGATGTCTATATAAAAAAAAAAAAAAAAAAAAAAATAAATAGTTTCCGTTCAGCAGCCTCTTTCTTGAGCCTCAACTCAGGATTGCCGACAAGACTGCTGGCAGGAAAATATCCTTTCCAATACTACTAACAAGATCGTAGCGAAGTCCTGATCTCTCCCACCAAAGCGGAAGCAGTTCGCCGTCGCTTCACGATCGATCTTGAACGAATACGAGTAATCACCGAAACACCCACCGGTCCGGTAATTATTTGTGTAAGTTAGTAGGCGAGTCTTCCACTCAGTTGCAACATCCAGCCTCGAATTACGGTAGGATTGCTATAATGACGCGTTTATGCGCAAAATACTTCTCACGGAACCGAGAGCACCATGTCGCTAGTGATTTAAGTCGTTCCTGCCGTTTAACCTCATCGATTATTAGCACAGCAGTCATGTCTGCCAGTATATGAAGCGGCGGAAAGTTAGCTGGGATTGTGGCCGCCTCAAATAATATCGTAGAATATCCTCGTACGATCCGTCTTCGCTGGATTGATTTGATTTTTCTACAGCGTCGGAAGACCGACGTTATAGCCCATTCAGGAGATTTATGTAGAGCTACGGATTGGATCGCCCACGCTTGGAGACGTCGCGTCTTCTCTCGGTCTCCCTAGATTGGGCAGAAGTCTGTGCATTGCACCCGCTAACCTTTCGACTAATAAGAATAGATGCTCGAAATGTTCTTCAAAAGATCTAGCGAATGTCCAGGATGAGGCCAAGGTGTTTCATATGCTACCCTAACCTTACTTCAGACCCCCCAACCAGAACGCACGAGTCAGGTGATTCCCAGTTTCGTATCAGTTTCGGAAACCATACGCCTCGATCTTATAGAACGTTATTTGCAAAACTAATTCGTAGAGTTTGTGCCGAAATCAACCATAGGAAAGTATGTAGTTTACATCGCCGAAATATGCACTGGCTACAAAGTTCTCGCACTCGTTTCCATAAAAGAGGTCTCCGGTTCTCTACACTTACCACATGAAGCACAGCAGCTTTAAGCTGATATTTTACGCTGGTATTCTGTGAGAGCGCACGCTCCTACCCCTGTCGAGCTGACCGATTCGGGCTACAAGTAATAAAACTGCAGCCTGGCTCTACCACGTAAAAGTTTTGTTTTTAAATAAAATAACACTATTTCCATTTATTTGCTATTTTCATGAACGTGTATTTAATTCTTAGAACTCAAAAGGGCAAGGTTAATGTGGCAACAATAGTCCTCCTTATGTTATGCATCTTCTATGTAAAACTTAATACCACGTGAACTTGCATTTACCAATAAGTTACATGAGCCAGTGGTCTAGAATAGAAGCGGCCTGCAATACATTTTTTTATTCATCGTAGAATCAACAGCTCCTTATGCTCACAAAAATAAAGAATTTCTAAAATAACGTTTAATGTCACTAACAGGTTCTTACTTAGAATATACTATCGTTGCAGTTGATTATATTGTTAATTATTTCGTGTTTGGGATATTTATGGTAAATTATTTTTTATTATTTCCATTTATAAAATTAGATATTGTGATGAAATTGAATAACGTATTTGAGCCTTCTCTTATTTTTATATTTATATGTTTTTATAGAATAAGGGCACACGACAACGAGCACAAACCTGATGGTGAGTAGATACTGTAGCCCGTAGACATCTACACCTATCCTCGATTAAGAATTTATTTAGATGGTATACAGTTAAAAAAGGGTCTTAGTCCTCAGAAGTGACAACGCATCAGTAGTCTTCTTTGTTCGAAGTTGGCTGCAGATGGGCTGTAAGTTGTGTTCGTTTATCACCTCAGTTTTTTTTTTAAATCGTTTCTGTATACACCGACTTGATTGTTATTTTAACTACTGGTCTAACACGGAACGCAACAGCATTTATCGCACAAGTACAAGACCACTATGATAATTAATTCCAAAAATGGGTTAAATTTTTGTATTTTGTAACTCACCTCCATCGCATTGCGTACACCACGTTTTTATACAAGCGTGTATTAAAGTGAGAAATATGTTTCGCAATACTTTGGAAGGTATTGTATTCATAAGTCAAACACAGAAATAAGACTACAAAACCTTTAAAACAACAAAAATATTTAAATCACATTGCAAAACGCTTATCGATCGTTGCCTGTCCCACGGCTTTAGAAGTGGGTAAGGTCATAGAGGCATCGTTTGTGGCTCGTGTAGGTCTCGCGTCATTGCGACATGCAACGCTCACACAGACTCTCGTCATGCGACACAATGTATACGAATGTCTCTTGAGACTCCCTGTAAATCTACTTTACATCATATTACCATTTAAATAGAGAATATTGAATAGTGCTACCAAATTCAAATATTTATTTAAGTAATTCAAGGCACATTACGAACGAGCACGAAATTTGTTCTAATGGATTCCATACTTAGACATTTCCAAAACACCATCAACCGGTACTGGTTTTGAAACAGTACTTTGTCTCTCGGGTTTGTTACAAAGACATTGCGTTGATTTAGGTTCAAATTTATTTTCACTACGCTCTTGTATTTGAAGTATTAGAAGTGCGTTTTCTTCTTCTAATAACGTTTTTTCACGTGTTAGGGCTTTACGTGTTAAGTCGGCGTGTGCAATTCGTTGCCAAAGCCTCGTTAAACCGCATGTTGTTGATATCGCTTTCGAAACCAAGGAGTCGTCTGATTGTAGTTTACGTAGGTTAGTTTTCGAATGTGTAGGAGAATGCGGTAAGGTTAACCCGAGAGGTAATACTTTTTCGCGTTGTGTCTCATATTTACGACATATTGCAGCTATACGCAGAATTTTCTCTCCTTTTTTGTGGGCATTTTTTAGCCATTCAGTTGTACTATCTGATGCTTGTACTAAGTCAACCATCAGCTTTGCATCCTTTTCACATTCGTCCATTAAAGTCTTTTTTAACCGAAAACAAGCTGCTCGATGTCTGTCACGGCGATCTCGAAAAACTGCTTGTTTCGAGCCTGATTCATACGCTAATAGTTCCGAATGAAGCCTCTTTAAAAGCTCATCGCTATCTGCAATTTTCTTTGCTTGAGAAGCAATAATGTCTGCCATTAAATTTTCTTTATGGCGCAATTTGCGCACTTCTTTTTGATTGGCGGCGGTATCAACAACGTAGTTTTTAAGAACAGCTTTATAATCCTCCCACATTGAATTGTATGAATTTTCAAGAAGCGAACGAAGGTTATCGCGTTCACTTGTGTATTTTGTTCGTTCCTCATCTTCTTTTACTAAATTTTCTCCACGTGTAGTCCAAACTAGAGAATCAGCTGTAGTATGGCCATGGTAAATCAATAATTGCAAATGTGTTTCGGCAGCATCGTGATCTGTTTTAATACGTACCGTATCATTTTCACCCATTTTTAGTAACTCAGCCATTCTTTCGTCATTCTCCTTGGATATTTTTTCAATACCAGATAAAAAATTAATAATCATTGTATCTATAGTATCACAAAAGCTTGATACTGTTCGCTGATACTGATCATTAGATATGTCAATTAGACTCATAATATGGTTTATAAGATGATTTTTCTTATCATACGTTCTCTCAAAAGTATGCCACATTACCTCAATATCTTGTTTGAAGATTGGTTCTTTTATTTTAAGCATTATCTCACGCCATTTATTGTCCAATTCACCACGCCTTCGTGCTTGTGCAGCCATTTCACGTTTAAGTTCATCATGTTTTATTTTTCTTTTTGCTTCGGCCTCAGCTTGTAATTTCTTTAATTTCTTGGCTTCTTTCTTAGCTTTTTTCTCTTCTTTACTTAAGGCCATTTTAAAAACAATTTATATAAGTCAAATCAATCCACCTTTAAACAATCTAAAACGTCAAAATAATTACAAATAAAAGAGGATTTGTCATGTTTTGTTATGACACAATGTATTTACTACAACCAGCCATTTATTACAACATTATTTACTACAACACCTATCACCTAGCCTAATGATTATATACTCTTTGTCTATCACTAACATTTAATTGTGTTTTTGTTAGATGTTATTTAAAATTTAACACATTAAATGTAATCTATAATATGTAGGCAAGATATCAAGCTCTTGTTGGTGGCTGCGAACCATTGCAAAGCTACCTACACAAGCGTTTAGCAGAGAATCTGAACAGTGAAGCAGCTCTAGGTACAGTGAACGACGTGGCACAATGTGTACAATGGCTGCGCTCTACATTTCTGTTTGTTCGAGCTGCACGCGATCCCAGGAAATACTTAGGCCTACCTCAAACTGCACCTTCTCATCTTATTTCAAAGAGGATTGAAGGTAAGTTAAATCTTGTTCATGTAGTACAATAATGTTCGATTTATGTGAATTTCGGAAAATGTTTTAATATTAATATTTATGAAAGATTGTTTTAAAGGACAGATGTTAACAAGGTTACTAGATAAAAAAAAAGATTTGCATAATTTACTTATTAAATGATAAAGATCAAATTGATCGTAGCTATAGTTTGAAAAATGAACTTGTCACTACTATTAAAAGTATTAACTCAATTAATTAATACTTCTCTTTGGCATATCATGGATGATTATGCGTAGTGCTTTACAGGAGTAACTGCTCGTTTTACTAATAATCTCCGATTAAGCTGCATTTACATACTACCTTGGGCTCAAGAAAGTGAACATCCTTACGAGATCAGGGTATAATAATAATAATAATGTCCTCCAGACCGAATTTCCAGTCAACAGACTTTTTAACCATCGGCGCAAGACAGGATTACAGTGCCCAAGTGTATGCGCAAGCGTAGGTGTATCTCTATTCCCTCATTCTCATAGTCCGATGGGACGGTAAACTGACACGACCGAAGAGAGCTCAGGCGCAGGACCAACGGCTTTATGTGCTTCCCGAGGCACGGAGGTGAGACACCACCACCTTTCTGACTCCGGGAAGCTACTGAGAATTTCTTGGCGGAAAAACTCTATAGCTGATTTTTTTGGGCCCGACCCGGGATTCCAATCCGGGACCTCATGATCAGCAGTCGCGTTCAGGGTACCCGAAAATTCGGGAATTAAAATCGATAAAATTAAACGCGATAAAAATGTGTAATATTTGCTTAAATTAAACAAAGTACCTAGTTATGTCAACTGTATTTACTCATCATGACAATGCCATTAAGAAGGACTTTGCTCTGCAGTGAAACAAAATTTGCTGAAAATATTATATGACAACGTCCTCCAGACCAACTACCGGTCACGGCATAAACCATCTGGAAGGACAGGATTATAGTGTACGAGAGTGCAAGCACAGGTGTCATCTCTATTCCCTCTCATAGTAACGTAGGAATAGCAATACTTCAGTTAGCTAAGATGACGATCATTAACGATATAGAATATTTTAAAAATCACAATTAAAATGCTTGACTATCGCATGACGTAACGTTCAGATATGTTATTCCCATTCAATTTCACAGTTTTCTATTGCTTCAAAGATTGTAAAAAGTCTTTTTTACTAAACCCAGTGTATGCACAACAAACTGCTTTACGTGATTTTCTGAAAGTGGCTGTTATTGAACCTCTTTATCTTTATCTTTGCTCGACAAGAGATTTCAACTTGAGATCACATGATCTGCAATTGCGCTTCCGACTACTAGGGCAATAAGGCAATCATTGTATAATATTGTATACATATTAATCAAATATCAATGTATAGTGCAGTTTATAAATCCGTTACTACCAGCTCCGGATCATGATAAATGGGTATTAAAAGAACGTGCCTGTCAGAAGAATTATCAAGGAACGCGATCTCAGAACCTTAGGTTTAAGTAAAAGAATGAAGCGTCTCAGCTGCTTAGCGCAGTCAGAACGATTGGATTACCAGAAGTCACGCTTTTGGCACTATTTTACGCTACCCGTCGCCAGTATGGATATTAACATCTGACATGTACGAGATGCTGCTTCATTTGTCTGGTAGTCGCAAACGAGATTGTTGATCATAAGGTGCCGGGTTTGAATCCGGGTTCAGGTAAAATCAGTTATTGGCTTTTCTGTCAAGAAATGTTCAGTATCAGTCCGGAGTCAGGAAGTCGGCGGTGTTTCACCCCCGTGCCTCGGAAAGCGAGTAAAGCCGTTGATCCTGCGCCGGAAAAAATTGCTCTCTCTCTCTCTCTCTCTGATTGTGTCGGCTTGCCTCCCCATCGAACTATGAGAGGAAGGGAATAGAGAGTGCACCTGCCCTTGCGCATACACATTCCGTTTAGCCTGACCGTCAGGACCGAAATTCGGTCTGGAGCACATAAACATATTATGTGAGATTTTTCAGGAATTTCCATAGTCAAATTTTATTACTTTAAAAAGACACCAACAGGTTGAATAGTGATTTAGGGATTCTTGTCAGATTAATATTATTGTTTTAATGTTAGATTATTATAGATAATTATTGGTTGTTTACTTACGCTTCCATATTATTAGTAAGTACCTAAATTAAAAATTTACATAAAATTTGAGAAATAAAAGAAAATTTGTAAAAAAAATATCTAGTAGGTAACTGTTTATAAGTAAATTGCAAAGTAATTATTTATTACCTACAATAATTGATTTCGCTTGTCGTTTAACATTTATGGTTATTTATATACTACTAGTTCCTTTTGCATACACTTTACCTATTAATTCTAAAATGTTATTGAGGACGCTTTAACGAGCGTATGTTTGTATAAACACAAACTAATAAAATATTGTCACAATTATTATTATATGATATAAGTCATGGAGGTCATGCAGGTAGCTCAGGCACATGAGTCCTTACTCTGTGGCTCGAAACTGTGCTTTGTATAATTCATTGGGAGGGGGGGGGTATACATATTTTATTGGAGGTGGTGTTTATAATGGTGATGATATGAGTTATAGAAGTTGTAATAGGCCTACAAGTGAAATATATATATATATATATATATATATATATATATATATATATATATATATATATATATATATATATATATACCTCTACTGTTGGACAGGGGATTTACATCGCTATAATCGCCATGCTTGTCAAGCGGATTGACGATTGCAGTACTGGATGATGTGTGTAGTTTGGTTTTCTATAGGATGTATTTTACTCGTGGCGTAAACAGTATGGTAATACCTATAACCATATCCAATCGATAACCATAAGATCTTTCTGGAATTACACAGACGTCTCTTCCAATAATTACAGGATGATATTAGTCAGGTTACGAATGTTCTTATAAGTTGAGTATACGCTAGACGAGCCGAGCACGAGCGGAGCATGAGCCGAGCACAAATTCGTGTAGTGCGGACCGACTTACAAGCCTCCAACGAGCGCGTTTCGAGCGTTTTGTTCGTGCTCGACTGTCCTCCGCCTATTGTCGGTTTTTTAACGAACACAAAGGGATTTGCATCGCAATCATCGCGTGCATTGATTTGGATGTTGTAGACTCGTTGTACGTTCCACCTAGAGCGGCTCTGCTTGTACTCAGATCCTCTAGCGTAGACCCACCTTAACACCGCCTACACGCAGCAATTTTTAGGCATAAATACATGGTTAATACTGTGAGCTCACAAACTAGTCTGCCCAGCGGAGTGAGTATGAGTAAAAATAACTTATACTGTAATAATATGTTATCTTTTTATATGGTAGAGCCACCCTGCAGCTATGTTATAGCTGTACCAAGAATGCGTCGGCTTGACCTGAGGTGGACCACGCTCTCGTAAAATACTATCATAAGAAAGCAGCTTAATGCTGCTGTGTTTTTTGTGTATGTATGATGAGTATGGAGAATAGAGACACTTTTTACCGAAAACAAGGCATTATTACTTAGCCCTCAAGGATGATTCTTTTTAGAGAATAGATGTCAATGTCTATGGGCCCTTAGCGTTCACTTAACATCAGGTGGACTGTGTGCTCGTTTGGTAACCGTTATTCCATAAAAAATATCCTACAGTTAAATCAAAAGGCTCACAAAGACAAGTAATCAAGATTTAGTGTGTGAATAGCTTAAAAACGATAGCCACTAACATTATTAACAATTAAATTGTTAATTGCAATTTAAAGTGCTAACTACGCACCCAGAGATGAACAGTCGTAGTATACAAAAATTTTAATAATAAAAATATTTTAAAGATTATGTTCCAATTTATTTCAAGCGAGTACTCGAAGATGGCACGTTGGAACATCTAACACAGCAGCATTTAACAGTACAGTATACGTTACATCGAATTCGAATTGGTTAGGATTAGATGTGTGTGTACGAGGTCTGGGCTTTGGAAGGTAGTATTTAATGGATCGAAAAATTTCAAATTTAAAAAAATCTTTTTTTTTTGGGTTAATAAATTTATCTTAAAAACACGATGGGAGGGTGCTTTAAACTTTTTGTAAATTAAAGAATTTGTTGATTTTCTTATGGATCCCGTTACCATTCATTATTCACTACAGCCTATAAAAGTTCACTGCCTAACATAGATCTCCACCATAGATTGCGTCATTAGAAGTATTTTGCCATAGCTGTCACGCAAGCCGATTGGCAACCGCAGTTTTTTTAATTATTTTGTGTTATTACAAGGATGCTGCTACCCATCTCCTGCTTCAGTTTCTCTCTATAGCCTCTTACGACACCCATGGGACGGTATAGTCACATCATTAGATCTTGACAAAACCACCCTTTGTAACAAAACAAGAATAATTGAAATCAGAGAACGTGGTGGTTAATGATCACTGTACGTACACATACATACGTACATGGTGTGAGAAATATCGCATCAATAATTGCTGGATGTTAAAAGAGGAGACAGAAGAAAACAAACTAGGAGATGAGCAGCAACGCTTTCCTTCTTAAGATCAATAAATATCTGCGGCTGCTAACCCGCCTGGCAAGCATGGCAACTGTGTCAAATTAAGCAATCTGTGGGAGAGGCCTTTGTTGAGCAGTGGATTTTTAATAGGCTGTAAAAATAATGTTACCTTACAAATAATATTAATAATGCAAATAATATTAAAATGATGTTACCTACAGAAATTTCCACGAATTAAGGACCCCCTCCTTCTTTGAACTCGGTTTAAAATCTTATATTATATTATAACATTAATTTTTTTACGTGGTAGAGCCTCGCTGCAGCTATATTATAGTTGTAGCACGAATGGGTCGGCTCGACCGGGGAAGGACCACGCTCTCACAGAAAAATAGCAGCGTAATGCTGCTGTTTCGTATGGTGAGTGTAGAGAACCGGAGACCCTTTTACTGATATCCAGGCATTCCATTTTAGTCCTCAGGGGTGACAACACATTTGCATTTTGATCCTTTGTTTCGGATAAATGTGGATATCTATGGGCCGCAGTTACCACTTACCATAAGGTGGACTGTGTGTTCGTTTTTCACCCAATACTATAAAAAAATATATAATAAATAAATGCATTTACAGAACTATGCGTAAAAGCAATGAACGGGTTGGCAAGTTCTGGCTTAATAACAATGGACGAAGCGAGTTGCATTGAGTCAACAGAGGCTGGTCGGCTTATGTCTATATATTATTTGGATTTGGAAACTATGAAACATATAATGAAAGTAAGTTTAACAATTAGCCTATATCTAATATCCTATTCTATGAATAATTAAATAATATATTTATTAAAGACGCTTTCAAGACTAAATGGAAAAGATACGGTAGACGAGTACATCACTGACCTTCGATTTGCCGACGTTATAGTCATTATGGCAGAAGCACTATCCTTAAAAACCTCTGTAATGTCTCCCAACATGCTTTGTGGTATTCTTTGGGGGAGCCTATATTCATCAGGGGACTTGTAATGAAGATGATGATGGTGACAGATTTTATCAACTTTTTTTTTAATAGAAGAGAGGGTAAACGAGCATACGGTTCACCTGATGTGAAGTGACTTCCGCCGCCCAAGAACATCCTCAACACCAGGGGAAGCAGGTGCGTTGAGGACCCTTTAGAAAGGAGTAAGCTCTTTTAAGTAGTAGTAGTAAGTCTAAGTAAAGTCCCCAGTCGTATCGATCCGGAAAAATCGTCGGTGGTAAACTTTTCCACGGAGAGGTCGTGCTTTTCTATGCATCTTACAGCATATAGACATAAATTTCACCTTCAAGCCTCTGACCACTAGGTCGGAAACGCTGACTGTATTGTGGGTTTTGGACTTGGCTCTTAAGAGGTGCTGGTAGTTATACTCGTATGCAATAAGATCTATGGTAGACTTAAATTAACTTTATGACTAGGTGGCACGAGCTTCTTTTCTTTCGAGGAGTCCGTTTGGCTTGGTGCCGCCCTATTAACTGTTTCTGAAGCCTAGCGTCTATGCACGCAATGCAGTATTCTATTTGAAAGGGCAACATAGAGAAGTATAACTACAGGCCGTGGACGGTATCCCGTGAGGCGTTACACTCCCATCATAGTAACTAAGATGAAGATGCATCTGCTGTCTTAGTTTCATGTTGCTATGTTTGGTAAGTGTAGAGAACCGGAGACATTTTTTTGCTGGAAACAAGGCATTTCATCTTAGTCTACAGGGGTGGCAACGCATTTGCATTTTGATTCTAATCGTGGATAAATGATGATGTCTTTGGGCCACAAGATCCACTTACCAATAGGTGGACTTTGTGCTAGTTTATAACCCTTATACAATAAAAAAATATGGCAAATAGTTCACAGTTCGTAGTTGATGTCACAATAGTCATTAGATTTTTTTATAAAGTTATGAACCATACTTTACAATTTGTTTCATAATAGAAGTCGCCTTATATTATGGAACAAATTGTATAATACACTTAATTGATGACAACTTAAAAGTTGTCATCAATTAAGTGTATTTTTATTTTATTTGAAAGTATTAAGTTTAACCAGATAACAAGATCCCATTAATTAAAAAGCTTTTAGGATTCGCATACTGGAAGGACTCATCATTTAAGTAATACATTTTTTATTTTTTAGTGTCTTACGGTGTTAATAATATTTGGATTGTAACCCAAAACTTTAGGTGATTTATTAAACCATTTAAATAAAAAAAATATTTTTAAGAACCTACACTGTAAATTAACTATGTAAAACTTTATATGTGAATACAATATAAACACTTTCTTATTTTGTATCTGCAAACAGATCTGTAAGCACATGAGTAAGGAAACCGACACTGTAGATAACTTCTGTACATTTTTTATCATAAGAACTAATTTTATGTATATATTATGCGGACATTATTCTGTATATCTCCCACCAAGCTTGTTGATGGGTGCTACTATTCTTCTTGAATACCCCGTCTGACGCCGCCATTACAAAATTAGGGGACATAATATAATCTCGTAATATTTCGGTTGTCAATCAACCAGTGTAGGGCCTTTTATTACGAGACTACCATGTAGGGAGTTGATAGATGCGAGTGACTCAGGACCGTACTTTTTAGCAATCTTTATGGTCACTGTAATGCATTGTGATGATTATGGCTTTGTTGAGGAACTATTTGGGTAAACACAGATGTATTTTCTCGTCCTCACTACCCGAATGCGAGGAAATGCATACTATGCGATTAGATTTTTTTATACCATAAGATTGAGAAACAAGTTCACGTGATGGTAAGGATCATAACAATAACAGATTATGTATGTGGACACTGCAACTTTAGACAAAGATGGCTACAATTTGTCACCGCAGAGACCTTACTAGGTACTAAATATACTTTATACCTCTCGACTCGACCTGGGATGGATCACGCTCTCACATAATAAAAATAACAGTATAATGCTGTTGTGTTTCGTATGGTTAGTGCAGAGAACCGGAGATATGTTTTACTGGAAACGAGGCTCCATCTTAGTTAGTTCTCAGGGATAACAACGCATCTGCATTTTGATTCTTAATCGAGGCTAGATGTAGATGTCTATGGGCCACAGCATCCACTTACCACCAGGTGAACTGTGTGCTCGTTTCTCGCTTTTAATCCATAAAAAAATACAACAACGGAAAAGAGGTTGCACTATCTTGTATAGTTGATAAAGTTCGATAATATATAATTGAAAATTATTACCGTAGTCCAAATCTGACAAGTAACATTGTTATTGTCATCATCACAAATAAAGCAAGACGTATTGTAATATTTTTTAAAAATGTTGATTTAATTGTTTTACACACATTTAAAAGCCAGCTCGAGGTTTATTAGACCTCAACTTTTTAAGATCAAGTTCGTTGACCCCTGAGACGAGGAATGTCCTTTTATCCTTGTATCAAATGTCATAAAACTAAAAATATTCTACGCAAATCCCGTTCGTACAATCTCGACTTATATTTTCGCGTAGATAAAAGGCAACGAGTCGTTGGAACAGTTATTATGGATAGTGTGCGAGAGTCACGAGCTATCTGATATGCACCTACGTGTAGACGAACGCAGATGTCTTAACGCACTCAATAGAAATAACACCGCTGCAACTATACGGTTTCCTATGAAGGGCAAAATAAATACAAGGCAGATGAAGCTTAACTGGTAAACTTTTATAAAGTATCTAAAAATTATTTCTAAATGAACAGTAAGGAAACAAGCAAGGGGGAAGAAAAGCACTCGAGTATTAGCAAACACAGAGTCGGACTAAACATAGTGGCAATTCGACGAAATATGCAGATAGTAGAGTAGATGTAGAGTAGATGCGGTGTAAGAATATCCACTTCTCCATATCAACCTATATCCACTTCCCCATATCAACCTATATCCACTTCCCCATATCAACCTATATCCACTTCCCCATATCAACCTATATCCACTTCCCCATATCAACCTATATCCACTTCCCCATATCAACCAGTCGGTGTCGTAAGAGATGAAGATAAAAGAAGATGGCCGGTAGCGTCTTCCTAATAACAAATAAAATAAAAATAAACTCCGGTTGCCAATCCCTACTAAGCGGGGCAACTATGGCAAATATCCCCCTCTGGAGAATCTATTGGGGAGAACTATGTTCAGCGATAGAGCCGTGGTAGCGCAGGGGCTAAGCGCTGGCTGTAAATTTCACAGTACGCAAGCAACCCGGGTTCGATCCCCGCCATCACTAATGAAATTGTTAATTGCAATTTTAAGTGCTGATTAACCACGTGCTCGGCGGTGTAGGACAACATCGTGAGGAAACCTGCATGTCTAAGAAATAAGAAAAAAATATTTCGATGACATGTGAAGCATTGGGGCAGCGCGGCGGATACTTCCTTGCCCTAAAACCATCTAAGCGAAAGTGAAAGCAGGCCCGTGCCCAGCAGTATGACGTTTATTATAGGCTGTAACTTTATTTCAGCGATGGACTTTGGATAGGCTGTACCTGTACATCCAAGTAGTCGCTGAATGAAAGTGGCTCAGGTCTGTGCTTTGTGGCAATCTATTTTTTGGATGCCTATGATCAAAAATGGACTTGTGATAAGCAGTTATAATGATAATGAATAAAGACTTTATATAGTTAATTAATGTTTTTTCATACAATGAACTTATCGAACGCGCAGGACATATTATAATGTCATTAATTAAAGCTAATTCAAATGCACTCATTCTTATCGTATCAAACCTAATGTTATAAAAAACAAAATAGAAGGTTCGGATGCGACGTCGAAAACACAAGCGATGATTTGTATATGGATAAAGGTATGAACGAATGTTGACTCGGTGGGCTTACGGCGTAGTTGTCATAATTTTTTATTGAGGGTACAAAATTGAAATTGTTTTCTGTTTTCTGGGAGTCTATGTGTATATTTACTTCATATAAGATAAGACTAAATATGAAGTAAATATTTATACATATTATGTAATCAAATTATTTTTTATATTTCTTATATACTTTAGCAGCCCTTTCGATAGTACTAGTGTTTTTACACTCTGGAATATTAGACATCAAATAAATATATCTATCAAAATAAATATTTAACTGTCTCAATTTTACATATTTCTTTCTAATCCTTTTATAAAAAAAAGTTACATTCATGTTATATACTGGTCCTTGTCTCCTCTGCATATAATATAACAGTATTAAGAATTATTAAATACGAAATGTAGTAAGAAATTCCATAACGCAGTAAGGAGTTGTGTATGTCAGTGTATTAAACAATGTTGTGTATAGCTTAATTCAGGCTGTCCTTGGTTGCCTTCCCATCCATGAGCCTTCGTTAAATCAAGAGGCTATGAAGATAATGAGGATCGCTGATCGCATCTGCAAATGTACGTATAACTATCTATAAGGTGAAATAAAAAAACAAGTCTTATAAAAAAATGTGAAAGGATTATGAAGCGATTGAAAAACAAATCGCTAGATATTCCTCAGAATCATGAAGAAATATATTATATCCACGGTTGTAATAATTTCTTAAAAATGAGCGAAACAATTATTTGCCCATTTATAAATTTTATTGTAAGTATAATTCTATATATAATGACTGCCTCGTTGGTCTAGTGGTTGTAGTAGTGCGACTGCTAATCATGAGGTCTTGGGTTCGAATCCCGGGTCGCGCCCAAAATTCGAGTTTTGAGTTTTTCCGTCAAGAAATTCTTAGTAGCTGCCTGGAAACAGGAAGTTAGCGGTGTCTCACCTTTGTGCCTCGGAAAGCACATAAAGCAATTGGTCCTGCGCCTGATCTCTCTCCGGTCGTGTCGGTTTACCGTCCCATCGGATTATAAGAGTGAGAGAATGGAGAGTGCTCCTGTGCTTGCGGCATACACTTGGACACGTTAATCCTGTATTGCGCCGATGGCTAGTCTTCGTTGAGGCAGGCCGGCTTGACCGAAATTCGGTCTGGAGGATATTATTATTATTGGAAGTTTAAACAACACAAAATCATGGTAGAAGGTTCCGACATTTTAGGTCCAGGATTTGACTATACACCAATATTTGTTCGAAGTCGTAGCGTTGCATCTTGGTCCTCGGGGTTAATGACGCATATCTACAAATACATTTTTTAATCGAGGTAAAATATATGTGTTTTTGGGCTATAGGATTCATATAATATCAGGTAGACTGTGTACGCGTTTTAACCATAATGCTTAAATATACCTTATAATTTTAGGTTTAGTGGCTTATGTAACAAGACCGAATCTTTTAAGGGAGAGTCCACAAAATTATCAGGCTGTGTTAAATTCCATTATGTTGAATAAATGCATTAAAGCTCACCTTTGGGAAAATTCTATATACGTGAGCAAGCAACTGAAAGGTATCGGACCCACGTTCAGTGGTTTACTTGCAACTGCCGGTAAAGTGAACTTCATGTTATTAGAAGAAAGTCATCCTAGAGATTTGGAAAGGGTAAGTATTATACTGCAATAAATGTTTTACTGACCTTCTTCACATACATACACACACACGCGCGCACACACGCACACGCACACACACAGAGAGAACACAGACTTCGCTTGACTCAAGAGATTAGACCTTATAGTACTCAGAACAGTCCTATTGACAGTATGGCGGGGATGGTTGGCGGTTTTCACATATCCTCTAAAATTTTGTTTATTTTACTTTTTTTAATTCACGTAAATATAAGAAATCAATTTCTTTTTATTATTTAATAAAATACGACAAAACAATTGACACAACGGTGGGAATGGAAACAATGGTGGGATTCGATATCAATAACATGCTTTTTTCATAAAATTTTAAATAATTTGTTACGTAACCTCTCCTCATTCTTTGTAGACAAGCATTACTACGAAGAACGAACACTTTTAGCAGAAAACATAGACAAAAAATATCCTGATTCTGCAATATTGTTCTTTAAAATACTATTGACCATTGCATTACATTATAGATTAACATATACATACATAACATATGGGTGACTATAATTCAAGTTCAATATATTTTTTGCACTTTTTACTTTTAGATAATGAACAAAGGTCCACCAGCGGGTAATATCCTACGGAAGCAAATTAGTCTGTTGCCGAAATATCAGCTTACAATGACACCTGTTGACGAAAACTGTTTGAAGATTCAGTTGACATTATTAAATCAGACGTATCTACTGGAAAATATAGAACATTTAACGGCTGGAGCCGGCCACAAATGTTATATTGTTATTGGTGATAGTGAGAACTATCTCCTGTTACTTACATCTTTTAAGTAAGTGTAATAAGATTTGCTCACCCTTTCTTATACTGGATGACCTTTTTTACCATCTGGAAGAAAAGGGCGCAACATGTGAACGGAATAGAAGCCTGTGACACTGATATTTCACAAAAAACAAAATCAAAAATTTTGGATTAAATAATTAAAATCTATCAAAATTCAAATCATATCCACTCTACTTTACGAACGGCAATAAAATAATGAATTTAGGCATCTTTGACCTTGTCACTTCGCAGGGTCACAGGATCAAGAGCAAAGAGCAAAGAAATGGTCCAAAAAATTTTTAAGCGGTTAATTCAACATTTTTGTTTTTATTTTTTGTAAAATATCAGTGTCACAGGTTTCTAATCCGTTCACATGTTGCACCCTATTTTTTTCCAGGCGATAAAAAAGTCATCCAGTATAGGTACTTTCACATGACCTAATATAATTTTATTACGTTTATTTTTCTATTTAAATAACAATGTCCTCCAGACAGAATTTCCATCACGGCAGCCATCCTCGTAGTGAACGAGTGTGTGCACCAGCATAGGTGCACTCTCTATTCCCCTTTCTTTCATAATCCCGTGGGACAGTAATCAGACACGAACAGAGAGAGACCAGGCACAGGTCAAACGGCTTTACGTGCCATGACTCTGGGCTGTTATTGAGAATTTCTTGACAGATTTGTACAATAACTGATTTTTGACCCGACCCAGGATTTGAAACCGGGACCTCATGATCAGCAACTGCGTTCACAAGACCAATGAGGCAATCAATTGAACAAACATACATAGTTGGAGGTCATGGGTTCGATACTCATACAGACGGAAATATATATGTAAATAATTATGTCGGCTTTAGTTGTTTTATTCAATTTCTTATCACTATGTAACAGTGTAACAGACATACATAGAATTCTATTAGGTTGATGAGGGCACCCACAACTTTTTCTACTATCAAGACGGAGCCATTTTGTAATGAGGTGAAGTTTTCAACAGGTTTCATAGAGAGAAAGTAAAATTGTAAGAAAAATATTTAGTTTAACGCTTTTTATCTGAAATATTAGTGTGCATTTTATATTAATTAGATAAAAAAAGATGACCAAATTGCGGATGTTCCTGTAAGTAATCGAATTAAAAAGAGAGTTAAAATGTGCAAAGATGTTTAAAAATGGGCCAGGTCTATGTACACTACCTCAAAAAAAGAAAAAAAATTGTAGAAATAGGGAAAAATACAGATAATTCATTTAAATGTATCCTGTCGTGGTAAACAATAAATGTTTATCAATTATTTTTATCTACTTTCAACATGGCGTCTCACCGATTTAGTTACTCTGTATTTATAGACAATGATAGTAACGTAGACAGAGAAACCTATAGACAAATTGACGCCTTCTTTTGCATTCGCACACGAAAAAGATAGATTTATGCATACGTCTCGCATAGAAATGAGACAGAGCGGTGTGATTGTTTGTCCCTTTCTCTGTGCCGGTTTTTTGTTTAGCAAACTACACTTTACTAAACAACTTTGATAGTTCGTAGCGATGTAAGGAGTTTACAAGTTGGTTTAAGTGAGAAAAAAGTGTTTTGTGAACTTAAGATTGGTGAATCTTGCTCAGTTCAGTTCTTAGAACAATTAAAACAGAACAATTAAAACTTTTATCTAAATATGTTTAAAAGTCATAAAGATTATTGTATAGCCTAAAACTACGTTATCGTCCTTTCTCACTCGAGGCCACGTTAATCATTAGTCTATAGGTTTCTCTGTCTACGACAATGATAGTAAACTATAAATCGACCAATGATCATAGAAAGAGAACTGTCAGTTGTCACAACATTGTCAAAAATACTTGAAATCATGAAGGTTAGAGAACAGGAGAACGATCGTCGTAGAAAATAGAGTCCCAGAAATATGGACGCCATAAGTGAGGCACTACGATCGCTAAGTTTGGTCAATAAAAGTCATTTTCTGTCTATTTTTCCGATTAGATGCTAAACTACTTGAACATCCACGTACAATAAAATTTTTCCCCCCTTTTTTTGTCAAAAAAATCAAATGTTTCTTTTTGTCAAAAATTACAAAATTACGGAGCATGAAAATTTTCTCACCAATGCCGCGGAGAAAATTTGTACATTATTCAAATAACTTCATCTACTTGAACTCATAAACAGCTAACTTCGCAGTCACTACCTACCGACGTCAGCGCCGCTATAAATTCTACAATTTTCAAGGACAGGCGGGCTATGCTTTAGTACGTAGTGATCGTTCTCCTGTTCTCTAAAGACCGATTTACACTTCGACAAGTACAGTAGCCAGTTTAGTCACAGACAGTTGACAGTAAAGGGTTAAGTGGGCAGTAGCGTTCAAACAATGTCTTCGTGGCGAGTTTAGTTAAGGACATTAGTTCATAAAGTTCGTTGGAATATGACGTTTCAAGACTACAGAATTTTTCCGGTTTTCGTTTAAGATGGTCCTAGGATTAGGTCAAGAATTAAATGATCCAGGCAGAGAAGTATTAATGGTTGTTGTTAAAGAAGTTTTCAAGAATTTTCATGAGTGTAGCACCTCGAGCAGGTTTAATTTTACAATTTGAACTTCTACTATTATATAAACATCCGTGTTCTAAATACTCCTGTACGAATTTATATGTGATATCTTCCGTCCATTTTGTTATTAAAACTCAATATAAAACGTATACATATTCAATAAACAGTATCGTACAAACTTTGTGGCGAGTTTCATTATAAAAGTACAATTGTAAGTTTTGGCGCGCAAACGTTGCGTCCTGTCAACTTATGCACTGAACTAAACTCGCTCGTTTACACGAATTCCGAGTTTAGTTGCGGGTGGCGGGAGACGCGCGGGAGGGCAGTACTTCGCACTTAACTCGCCGAAAAATAGCTCGGTCGGCTATCGCGTTCAACTTAATCGTTAACTTGCTTCTTAACTTGCTTATTTCCGTTCAAACGAGGTTCAAACTTAACTCGCCAGGTTCGCAAGTTAACTCGCTACTGTACTTGTCGAAGTGTAAATCGGTCTTAACCTTCATGCTTGAAATAAACATGTCAAACGACACTAATCAATAGAAATGACAGCTTGTCGCCATATTGGGTTTTTATTGTGTGTTGCAATTACAAGTATAATTTCCTGTGCCTTATCAGCAAACAAAGCCATTATAAAATAACTGGACAGTTGAGAACCGTTTAAAATGTGTTTCCCTATTTTTGAGTATAGTGTACAAGGACCTGGCCCAGGCTCCATACATTTCGGAACATCTCAACGAGTAACCACTGGCATTGATTTGTATATATTGGCATATACATTAGAAACCGAATTATTTGTCGAACGCCACTTTTCTTACATTGTACATACTTAGTATCAATACAGTCCTATGATCTTTGTTCTGACAGAAATGATCATATCAGTTCTTTAGTTGAGAAGGGCAGTCTATTCCTTTAAGTTTCTCCATACACAACTTATAGTAACAGTCAAGTCAACAACAACTTGAGCGGTAAATAGTAACTAGCCCTCATTGCCCCGTAATTAAAATTAGAAGGCAGGTTGCTAAGTGAAATACAAGACTAACCTAACTTCGTTTCACTGCATATTTTAAAAGCAGTTACTTTCGAGACGAGTATTTTCTTTTTGGCTTAATCGACTCCTACGACACCCAAGGGGTAATCTTATGATGAGGTGATGAACTATTTTGTATCGGCAACGCTTGGTACTTGTGTACTTACTTTATTACGAGTATATTATAATTCATTTAGTATTACTAATTGCATTTGGCATAATATATATAAACTATTATGTATCTTACAGTGATTATTTATGTATACGTAACAAATACATTACTACTGGAATGATCTATAATTGAACTACTGATCGTAAAATGATTATAATTGTTAAATAATACTCCGATGAAATACGTCATATTGATAAATATTAACGTTAAGGCTACCTCAAGAATGTTGTCATACATTATGAATATTAAATTTTATTATTATTGACTAGGGCGTCAAATGGCATATACCTGTGTAACGTTGGGATTTTTTTTAAAGCGTAAATTTTATGTAGCTAAGTCATAAAGTTTTCCTCGACTGTAACATAAGTTCAAAACTTATACAGTCTTATTTTCCCTTTAAAGGTTTTCAACCGTTTTTTTGGTTAAACCAAATAAAAGGCGGCGAAGCGTATGTACTAATATATTCACCTGATGGTAGATTCTGTGACCCATAGATGTCTACATCTATCGTCAATTAAGAATCCAAATGTAGATGCGTTGTCACCACTGGGGACTAAGAAATGCCTCGTTTCCAATAAAAAGGGTCTCCAGTTCTCTATAGTCACCATACGAAACACAGCAGCATAAAACTGCTATTTCACGCTGGTATCATGTGAGGTCCTACCTCGGTCGAGCCGATCAGTTCGTGCTACAACCATAATATACGAGGGTGGATTGAAAAGTACTCGGCCTAACCAAGAAAATAAACACATACTAAATCAGTTACATTTTTATTTTTCTACATAATCACCATCAAGTTCAATACACTTTTGCCACCTCCCCTTCCAAGCATTTAGACCGTTGAAAAAAAAATGATTCTTCCTTAGAGTCAAAATATGCGTCTACAGCTGCTTTGACCTCGTCGTTTGTCGAAAATCTTTGACCTCCCAAGTGCTTTTTAGGTTAGGGAACAGAAAGAAGTCTGATGGTGCCAGATCAGGTGAATACGGCGGATGCGGTAACAGTTCAAAGCCACAGTTGTGAATTTCAGCCATTGACTGTACTGACGTGTGAACACGGGCGTTATCTTGATGAAACAGGACTTTTCTTCTGAGCATTCCTCGACGTTTTTCTTTTATTTCCTCTCGTAAACGACGTAGTAAGGTGCAGTAGTAACCAGAGTTTATAGTCTGACCCCTTTCAAGATAATCAATCATAATCACACCTTTCGAGTCCCAGAATACTGAAGCCATCACCTTATTTGCCGACAAAATCGACTTAGCTTTTTAGGG